TTATGTAAAGGTGCAAATTTCCAATGATGAATGTCATTATATTGTATACCTAAAATGTACCAATAAAATAAAATTTAAAAAAAGAATGAGAAACTAGAGATATTCATAGCTAAATGGATGCACATTGAGGCCATACTCTGAAGTGAAATAAATAGGACACACGTGTAAATACCGAATAGATTCTCTAGTGTGAGAAACTGAAAATCTAAATAAGGATCTATATGTATAATAGATAATGTGAAACAGGAAGAAAATGTTCAAAGGGGATGGGGAACAGAGTGGGGGAGAAGAGAAAAGGGAGAAAATAAGGAGAAATGGGGGAAAAAAGCTTCTGTAAATGGGGCAGGGGGAGGGAAAGGGAATGGGAGAAAACAAGAACCAAGATATATCATGTACAGGTATAGATTCCCAATAATGAATGTGGTCATAATGTATCAGTAACATGCACCAATAAATCATTAAAATAAATCCATCTCAAAAGATGAATTGAGAATGAAAAATGAGAGACATTTATAGCTAAATGTATACATATTGAGGCCATACTCTTAAGTGAAATAAATAGGATACAAGTGTGTAAATACTGAACAGTTTCTCTACTATGAGAAACTGAATGTGCAAATAAGGATTAAAACAAATAATTGATAATTTGAAATAGGAAGCAAAGGTCCAAAGGAGTAGGGGAAGTGGGAGGAGAAGGGGAAAGGAAAGAAGGTAAAGGAAAAATTATGAGAAAAGAACAAAAATGGAAACAAAGAGTTTGTAAATAGGGAAGGGTGGAGGAGGTGAAGGGAGCACAGGGAATGGGGAAAAAATAAGAACCAAGATACATCATGTACAGGTACAAGCACCCAATAATAAATGTAAATGTATTGTATACCTAAAATGGACCAACAAAAGAATTTAAGAAAAAAAGATGAATTGGTTATTCAGGTACTTTGAAACCCTTTTACTCACTGGAAAACATTGTAGCAAATATAACCTACCGTTGAGGGTTTTATGATTAAATGACAAAAGCCATTTAAACTTTAGAACAAGACCTAAGACTGAGGTGCTCTGTTAACTTTCATTAAGGAAGCAACTGAAAGGTCTTTCTGGAAGACACTACACCACAAGTCCCTCCCATCTGGCTCAACCCCCATCCATCTTGTGCATCAATAAATTACAATAACCTGGACCGGAATCTGAAAACTACAGAAAAGATGAGTACAACAGGGTTTGCTATTCTCGGATGAACCTGAGGATACTGTGACTGCAGCCCAACTGTCACAAGTAAATGCGAGACACTTTTGTCATCGCTCCCTAAAACAAACTTCATCCCCTTAGCTCCTAATTGCCAGTCACGCGGTATGCATTTCATCTTCAACATGAATTTTAATTAACTGACTTATGCATGAATAAAGTATTGATCTAGTGTTAGACCAAGGGACCCTTGGCAGTATCCAGTGACCTGTACAGGTCTGTCTTTAAATAGTAGCTTAAAAGGGGGCCTCACTTGGGCTAGAAACCTGAAGTGGAACACTTTGACACTTTTGATTACAGAGGTGACTGAAAAGGACAGACAAGTACAACAAGAAACATGATATTTTTGGGAAAATGTATTTTTGCCAGAAACATTAGTGGTAAAACCTGCTTATCAAAGGAACAAATTCTGAGAGCAAAAATGACAGATTTAGAAGTGAGATTCAGAATAGAAATGAAACAAACCTGCA